GGGAGGACCACCGTAGCCACCCCCACCGCCTTCTTCTCCTGGAGCACCAGGCAACCCTGGTGGCCCCATCTTTCCAGGAAGTCCAGGTGGCCCCTTTGGACCTGGAGGTCCCATAAGACCAGCTCCTCCCCCACCGCCACTTATACCGTCTATGCCAGGTTCGCCAGGAGGTCCCATAGGCCCAGGTGGTCCCGGTGGACCTTCTGGACATGGCTTACATGGAGGCGGAGCAGGCTGACAGCCTCCTCCTCCAGCGCCTCCAGGCATTCCGGGAGCTCCAGGAGCACCAGGAATTCCTGGACGTCCGGGTCTTCCAGGTGTTCCTGCAGGTCCTGGTGGTCCGGGAATGCAACAAGCATTACAGGCGTTGATTGCAACAGTGGTGCCTCCAATGTGACGAACTGTCCGATTATGTGCTGGCGGTGAACTCATAATTCGTTCCACCTCATTCCAAATATCTTTTGCGGACCCCTGCAGTACGGACACCTAAATAATAAATCAAAATAAATTTAATAGATCCTACCTTACAGAAGCTGACGTCCATTTCCACCGATCTCTTGATATGGTATATGTAGTTGTATACCATGGGAAGGGTGATGCAAACTGTGAGAACGGTAACAACGGAGAATGTTACCGCCGCATAGGCAATATAACGATAGACAGTAACTCGCTGTCCTGAGCTCAACTCCATGCATAAGGGTAACTCTATTGCTTTCCTGTGTCTTTTATATGAACCAGTGATGTTCAATGCTTACTGGCACGCCCCCTTACCATTCTTCGGAAGAGTATACTGGCTTTTTCGCAGCGTTCTGCTAGAAAATCACTCTCGAAACCGTCACACATTCATGTCTATGAGAGATGAGCAGCTGTACTTTGCTCATCTCATTGAAATTGCTGTCGATAACCGGTCGCTTGATGGCGTTCTCGCTCGAATTTATTTTGTTTCTTAATTTCTGTGGAACGATTGTGAAAAAGACGTATGTGCAGCAATCAAATTCGTAGATTTACAGTCATTTTTCAAGTAATTCAGTCTATTTCTAGGACTTAGTATCTCGTAGAACGTTTCTTTGAGTGAAACATCTGAGTTTAGTCTCCTTCCTAATCAAAATACAACAAAAAATCATTGCAACTTTTCCACAAACCATCCACCATAGTTGGTGATGGTCGTCTTTTCAAAAAAGCGAAATTATTCTACTCCTATTAAAGAATCCTTGCAAGCTAGTAAGTCGAAGACCTTTGCCTACAATTCTACTTTTAGAGAAAGGGACAAAAATCTTGTTTGCAGTTTTGCTGAAAGTGCGCAAGCAAGTGTGACCTACTATAATCAAAACGCTTGAAAAAGTTTTAGAGGTGCGACGTAAACATTAATGGTATCATTTCGCTAGCATAATATCCGAAGAATGGGAGATGATTGCCTAAAGAGGGGCACGGATTGAGTTCTTGAATTATCATGATTCAATGGTATTGGAAGAGCAAAAATTATAAAAGACAGTGAAAGGGGTGTATGCCTTTGGGCATGCAGGCTTTTATATCCTATAGATGAGATTGGGCAGAGCGAGCGAAGGGTACCGAAGGGCTGTCTCTAAAAAATATTGGACCACACCAGACAAATCGATGAACTTTGTATATTTGATGTAGTCTTAGTTAAATCCAAGCATGGGGAGTGTACATGATTTACGTAACTGGCACATAATAGCATTATAATTGCGTTATAGCAATTTGCAAGCTTTTTATTCCAAAAAGTATAGCTGTCACCAGGGCTTTTTTAGCACTTTTTCGGGGGGAGGGAGGGGGAAGGGGAAAGGGGGAGGAGGAGGAACGGCGCGGACTTTTCCAACAATCTAGTAAATCACTGAACGACGAGGTAGGCATATAGGCTATTGTAGTTAACACTTATATTTCGTTTGCACTTCAACTCTCCAATTCACAAATATTCTTGTAATGAAAAAGTTAGAGCACGGAAATGAAAGATGTGGTAACAACTATTAAACTTTTTTCAGCTAAGGTGGGGACATCCGAAAAGTATTTTTAAAAGGTGAGATTTTTGTTCAAATCAATGTGAACGAAGGAATTTTAGTTGACATGTGACTTCATCTCCACTTTGCTTATTTATAGATTAAGGCTGTGAAACAGTTTAAAAAA